TAAAAGTTCTTCGTGCTCATTTCGGGCACGCGCCGTGTACGTACGTGTTTCACGCGTGTGTTTGATTGCTTTTTTAACCGGTGGAAAAAAACAACGGGCAATTTTTTAACGTCTCGCAAAAGTGATCGACGGTTAATTAGGGTCAAAACGTAATCAGTTTTAACATTTTCCTCATTTTACATTCGCGATAAATTTCAACATATAATTTGAGTATAGTACTCGTCATTTTATTGGCAACCTGTACAACTATTTTATTCTGTCGCACTTATCGGCACAGGTATTGTTTGAGTTTTAAAAGTTATCGTACAACGGTTGGTGGAAAAAGACATCTTTATCTAGTGCTAGTGCAGAAACAGAAAGCTAAGAAAACTATTTGGAGAATTGACTGTATTTTTAAAAGTATTTTACGGATTCCATATATTAAACAAATAAATACAATCAAACAAACAAAAAGCTTGACATTTAGAGCAAAACAATTGAAGAAACTAATATTTTATTCTTTTTTTCTTATATTAGTTATTATAAGTCTAAATTATATTATTAGAATTAGTGAAGAGCGAAGTCACACATGCATTATTTGTTTACTACGTATTGATTGAACTCTACACGTTTTATTCCGACCGGCAACCTGGTATATTACCCATAACATAAAAAAACAAACAGAACTGTTAGAAAAACAGTTAGAAAATATATTATATTGCCTGAGACGAAATACGAATAGATTGGATGAACTGAAAATACTTCGTCCCGATCGGAAACCTGTCACGTGGTTCGGACTCTGAGTGTCTCCGAGGGACCAGATGACCTAATGAGTAGCTGATCTTCGACGCGCTATCGTCGCTTAACGAGCTCCTGATAATGAGGAGTATCGTTAACGAGTATTAACTGTTGAAGTTTACCCAGGGCTTAATCCTTCACACGGTTATACGATACACGAATTTTACTTTCCAGAACAGCTAACAGTTCTAGATGATGTTAACATTTGCTTTGTTCTTTCTTTCTTTTTCGCTTTTTAAAATATTTTCTCGACTCGATAGCGATCTGTGTTGTGCGGACGTTTTATAAACGTAACTTTCACGCGGACAAACACCCAGATACGGAACAACTATCTGTGGGTCACGCAAATAGTTGTCCCGTGTGGGATTTGAACCCACGACCCCCGACGCTGAATTTGTTGACACGTGTATGATAAAGAATTTTTATGAGGAAAGGGGCGAAAATTGTATGCAATCAGTTTATTAGCCTTTTTTTATTCGGCAAGTTGATGTCAAATGCTAGCCAAGACAGTAACAATGATTCACATGTTGTGCCACCCCCACCTCTGTGTGAGAAGCGCGGGAGAAAGTAGAAGAAGAGTATCAGTGGATAAAGTAGGTCGCGAGAATGGCAGTAGTTGTAGGAGGAAGAAGTTGTTACGTACCATTTCTTCACATCCACGTAACATCTGTGACTACAGAATTGTGTCTCTTTCATTAAGAAGTCCTTTATCTTATTGCATGTTAAATCGTGGGGGTACCCGTACACAATGTACAGATGGACTTACAGAGGCTGATATGTTGTTCGCCATCGTCATACACTAATTATAAACTACGACTCACCCCGCTTTTGCACGGTTTCAATGAATTATATATGTCTTCGATTAGGATAATTTAACAATAATTAGTAACTCAATTGATATTGTTGTAACGGGTAGGAGTGAACACCGTGACGTAACGAGTCACGTGATCGGAATCGTTTGGGCCCCCTCCAACTGTGACATTTTAAATATGAGAGAGCGGTGAGTCTGAGCTCAGTATTACTCAGTTCATTGGTAAGAGCGATACAGTTCGGACCTTCTAAACGGGTCCGTTGGTTCACATCGGAACTTTGTACTATATTGATTCTCTTCAAAGAATACAAGATATATCGTACTATATCTTTGTGATTTAATTGCCTGAGACCTACGCCATGAACCCTGCACCAGAAGCTCCTACCGAAGATGGGCATATCGCTAATCTATCGCTGTCGCCGACATATACATAAAAACCTTCCTCTTGAATCACTCTATATTGTAAAAAAAACCGCATCAAGATACCAGTCAGATAATAGCTACCGATCGAGCCGAGGTCCGGCCCTCTCGGGCACCCTCGAATCGGAATGCTAAACGCGTGCTGAGTGACAGCCCAAGCCGAGGCCCCCTCTCGGGGACCCTTGAGCCTGATCACTCCATGGAGCGCCCGCCAAAGCGCCCTAAGAGCTTGGCGGCCTCCCAAACCGGTGATAATAATAGCGTGATGGCCCGAGCCGAGGCTCCCCCGGGAGCCCTCGAGCTTAGTCACCATAACGCGTAATAATGGTACGCCGAGGTTCAGGCTAGGCTCCTCGTGCGCCAGGCCACCTCAAGCCCGTCGGAACTGTAAAGGCCCCTAAGGCCAACAATGGCTCATCCAGCCCAAAAAAAAAGCATCAAGATATTTTGCGTAGTTTTAAAGATATAAGCTGCCTGTCTGTCCCTATGTATATATGTATGTATATAGGGACAGACAGGCAGCGGGACGACTTTGTTTTATTCTATGTAGTGAAGAACTAACGCTATAGTATAACTTGTTGCTAATACTATTTCGATATTATACCATATGCTCTGCCAGTTCCTAACGAGCTTTCTTTTTATAGCGAATTCAACGTCTAATTGTATCTTCTATTCTACAAAGAAACCTGTTACGTAAAGGTACCTTGTGGAAGCGGTGCTAACATTCCACAATCTCAAGCGCCATTTGTAATCCATAACATAATTTAAGGTTATGTTTGTTCACAACTGCCCCTTTCGTGAGAGGAGATTTTTCCTTGAGTATTCACGATGACAATCCATGTTACCTTTAACTACGTAAGGCTCTACCTATACTCTTGGTGGATTTATTTTTTGTTAGTCTAAAATTAAACAGTAACAGCCTAGAAACTTTCCACGGCTGGGAAAAGGCAAAGAGGGCATAGTCCATCACGCGACCACACTCTGGTTTGGCGGACTTCAAATATTTTGGATTTTTTTTTTTGCAGGTTTCCTCACGATGTTTTCCTTCACCGCTGAGCACGTGATAAGTCAGCACATAAAATTAACAATTTCAATGTTGTCGGCACCGGGGATCGAACTCGGGTTGCTCGAGTAAACTGAATTGAAAGTGAGCGCCCGGACACTGAGCTACCCCGGCTACACGGTTAATCTGCTCATATGTATTTAATCGGTTGTTGTTGGGCACTGTTTGGTTCCTTTCCGTGTTAACATGAGAGATTTTTCTATCTCATCTCAAATTGAGTGTTTATTATCCTTACGGAAAGTCAACAGCTTTTTTTTAAATTTGATAAAGTGGCAAACGAGCTAGTGGTTACATGACCCGATGTTAAGTGATAACGCCGCCCATGGACATTTGCAACACCCGTACGGTTGCAGATGCGTTGCCACCTTTAAATAAGGTGGGCCCCGGCTACATCACTCACCAGACGAAACGCACAAGTTTAACACTTCTACTTTACACCGGACCTCTGTGAATCCGCGATACTTATTCGGACGGACCTGCCCAGTCGTGCAACAGTGTTGCGTGGCCCTACCACCGTAATAGCTTACTTAAGGCCGCATTTTTGACTAATCTGGTGTTTAAAATTTCCATGGGTTATCATCAGGGAGCCCGCCAAATCGTTTGCCTTCTTTGCCATAAGAAAAGAAAATCTATGATTGGTTATTTCCAATTTAGTGGAATGAGTTCTAGAACATGGGAATATAACTTGCTTTGTATTTACAAGTCCCCTGGCTGCTGCTACCTTTATACCTAAATAATTTTGTATAAGTACCTTTAAATTTTTTTATCTTTAAAAAAGCTGACCGCAGAGTGTCTTACTTTTCTTGTATTCTACAAAGAAACCTGTTACGTAAAGGTACCTTGTGGAAGCGGTGCTAACATTCTAATTTATTGCATTACACTTTATTAAGAGTATTACATTACACTTTAGTATTACATTACACTTTATTAAGAGGTGGCGACGCATCTGCAATTCTACGGGTGTCCATGTGCAGGCGGGTATCTCTTAACATCAGGTGAACCGCCAGCTCGTTTGCCGCTTTCTCGCAAAAAAGAATGTTCCGTTTACACGCCCCTTTGCGTTGCGCGGTAACTATTCCATGCCGCCGTGAACTCAAATACCGTTGTCGTAAATATCCGAGATGCGGCGTAGAGTCGTCGCCCGTGGCTGCGTCCCGTCCATACCCACGCACCCGTCCCATTACGGGGTGTTCGCAAAAAAGAGCAGCGCGTCGCTAGCGCGCGTATCGAGACGCTAACAAATTGGCTCGTTAACAGCCGATCGGCGGCAATAACTTGTCGCGTCAATCGATAAATATCGATATTGCGTATCGATATGCGCTACTGCAAGCGCGGGCGCAGCACTAATTTCCTCCACACCCGAGCGCCCCCTCTTTGGCTTTAAGTGGGTTAGTTTTCGTTAGTCACTTGTTACTTTTTTATGTTGTGTGGAGGGAAATGCCTCAGACATAAGCCCTGTATGTTTGTGTTAAAGTGTTTAATATATGTTTCGTGTAAAAGTGAATTAAATAAAAGGTGTTTGTTTCAATTCTTGTTGCTTTGAAATTCTTTAATACGCTTAGTTCAATGTCGAAGTCAAAGTATATTTATTCAATAATAGGCTTTACTTAAGCTCTTATTGAATATTATATTATATTTTTTTGATGCAATTATACAAACTTATTTAGGTATAAAATCAGCAGCAGCCAGGGGTCTTGTAACTGCAGAGCAAGAGTCATTTCCACACATCCTTGTCCTCAATGTATTCTTGGACATTATAGTAGGACCTTGCCATGAATTATAACTACTGATACATCGATGGTAGGACTAGAATGATGTGTTACTTAATAGTAGAATTTAAGCAAAAGCTTTTGCTTCGGTAGCCCGGCTTTGCCTAGCCTATCGTCTTTAACGAAATCATTAGGCACTGGCTGGAGTTATTCACAAACCATGTCTTCGGTGCTATTAACGGATGCCAAACGAGCGGTGAAATTGCACCGTGTCCGAGCTCCGTTCCTACGCGCCGCGAACTACCGTTGCGTGACGTCACTCGACCGAGACAGCTCTACCGTCGGGGCGGCGAGTGACGCAAAAACAACTCTCCAAATAGGGCGGTCACATGTGGCGAAACATCGACGCGGACGGCCGTCGGGCCCCGGAGCTGTAGCAGGGATTTGGAGACGCGTCCGCTTTTGGGTAATCTCGCGCGTCAAGATGGCGGCGCGTCGCTGTCAGTGACGAAAGCGCGGGAAACTGCTCTAGGGCGACATGTGGCGTATGGTGCGTGCCAAATCCAATGGCGCATCCGTTCTTAGCACGACGCGTTTTTTTTTTGTTTCGACGGAGTTTTAGTGCCGCTTGACCGTTTGCAGCCCATTTTTGTTTCGGACGTTGTTACGCAAACCACGCAACTGGGACGCTCGCGTGTCTATTTGCGTACCCTTTAACGCTGTACGAGTGTTTTACGTGGTCGATTTTACTCTTTAAATTCTTTTTATCTAAAATAATTATACGCTATGGACTCGAGTTAATGAGATATTTAAATCTACGCTTAAGCTACAGAAGTTAGTTTTTTCTAAAATTAAAAAGAAAAACTAGTCTGAGCACTTCGTGTAGTTCGACTGGTAGTTTATTAGCCGATTTTCTATTCTCCTTGGTGTGCAACGAAGCAACACTTCTAAAATGAATTGTTTTTAAAACTTTAAAAATCAATATTTTATTTAGGATGGTTATGTTCCACAGAGATCTTCTTGTAAAAAGTTTACGTCTCATTCACGTGTATACCTACGTTACGTACATCTCGATATTGGTCACGAGTTGTCAAAATCTAATAAAGCAAACTTCCTTTCTCGAGCCGATCGAGAACGAGAGCTCTTTATTCAAATCGCATTAGAATTTTCTTTCGTCCGTTCCAATTTCGCTAACCTTTCTCATTCAACCTCTCGGCGCGTCCGTTATCTTCATCTGAACAGAATTATGTTCGCGCGGCGCGGACATACAAACAGAGGCCCTATCTCGGTCTATTATCTCTTTCGCCGTCCGGTTTCAAATAATAAATTGTGATTTGACGTATTGTGCGCGGGGCACACCGCCCGATTTATCGTTGACATTCTAATTGGATCCAAACTCTGTTAGTCGATGTCGACTATACTGCATGGTAATATTTAGCGCAATTACAGTGTGTAGAAATGCTTTGTGATTTAGGTTTTGGTTGAATATAATTTTGAATTATGCACGCTTAGATCTTGATGAAGGGAACTAAATATTGATACGGTGAATTAAAGCGGTGAAATCTGGTGAAAATTTAAGATAGATCCATGAATGGCTTGCCGCTAACGCTATTGTAATCGAAAAAAAAATGAATAGTTTATTTTTCTTCTTCCTGCTCTTGTCCCACATTGGGTGAGGTTGGCACAATAAGCCCTTACGTTTCACTTCCTTCAGCCGTCATCTCAATTATCCCTTTCACAGACATATAATTCCTCACACATTTCATTTAAATATTTTAAGATAGATATTCATAATGATAAAGGACGAGATTTCCCCTTAACAAAAGTTGGTGAAATCTTGTGTGTAATGAAAAGGTGGGTGAAGACAATTAAAGTCTCGGAAATTAAATTAAAAGGCAGCTTTCTTTTACACATTAAATAAATGCGATTCAAACGTGTGCTCCAACTTTACACTATTGGCGCCGACACAACTATATCTCTCGGATCTACTCTCGTGCGTACCAGTGCGGTTTATTGCTTAGGCTTCAGATATTAAACCTAGATTTCACTTAGCACCTACCGCGCCAATCTAAATTAAACTTTATCGCTCCATTATAGAGCATTAATTTAACACAAACCCAATCAGGGGACACGACGTTGCCGCCGTGAATAACGAGGCTGTTGATTTAATCAGATAAACGAGAAATGAATTTATCTCGCTCCGATATCGGCGATTAGAATGCGTCCCTCTCTGTCCGACGACGGTTATCGAGTGTCGTATCGGCGATTAAGCATCGGGAATACTGTAATTGGCGTGAACGTTTCAATTATTTCGCGATTTTTGAAGTCTATAATTTACACCGCGGCTGTATCGCCAACGAAGAGCAGTGGTGGCCCAGCCAGTACGCAATCTGACGGATAAAAATCATGTTGCATGCAACAATAAGAATTTTTAAGGAATATTTTTAGGTGGAATTAATCATATTTGTGCCTGGTAATCGGCAGCAGACTCAGCAAGAGTCGTTTTGGGTTATAATAAAATCATTGGACACAAGCATCTCTGTCTAACCCATATTTTACACGTTTGCTTAACGATTAAGAAAATAAAGTTAGTTATTAACATATACACCGTTAATACAGATGTGTTCACGAACATTTTGAGGTTACTTTTTGTGTTATGAAGTAGCTGTGGTAGGGCTACGCAACAGTTTTCACTGTTGCACGAATAGGCAGGTCCGTCCGGGCCAAGAACTCACAGAAGACTGGCGTGAAGTGTTAAAAGATGGCAACGCATTTGCAACCTTACGGGTGTTGCAAATCTCCATGGGCGGCCGTTATTAGTTAGCATCGGGTGAACCGCCAGACCGTTTGCCACTTTTTCACATAAAAAAAGCATGTCTGCCGCTCCTGGGCCGGCATAACGCGGGGCGCGGAGACAACGGGCCAATGTATATTCGGCATCCGTCTGTTCGCTTGTCAAGTGAAACATTAAAATTCATGCATCGCTCTCCCTTGGAACTGTCGAAGTCCACGGACAGACGGATGAATTTGTTTAAGAATGCGATGTGCGTCGGGTTTATGATGATGTGGTTATTAGCATTTGCGGACTCAGCTCCGATGGAACCTCGAAAGTCGAGGAATCCAAAAGCGAAATATCTTATGATACGGCATGCAGCACAATACTGGTTTCTTCTTAAGTACAGATGGACATTTTGTGTAGGGATAACAAATACAAACTACAGAATCCGACGATTTCTTGGCCTTTGCGAAGTTTTTGTATAGTTGCATCCTAAACTTTTTGTGGAGAGTGAAACCGAAGATTTTATCTAAACGCAAGTATATAGCAGTGTAAGGGACGCCGCTCCAAATTGGTTCCGTGTTCATGCAAATACCAACAACGCTATCGAACAGCAATTGATTTATTGTCTGGTAGCAATCAGATGTAAATTTCTACTTGGATTCCGGATTTGAAAACGATTACCGCCATTCTTAAGCAATAAGTAGATGAGGAGTGTACCGTTGAATGAACACGGACAATTCACTCTCACTAATATTGTCATTCAATTTATTCAAACAACTTGTGCAATATGATTAAAATTTGTGGAAAAAAAGTACAAAAAGTTTTTTGACGATGTGGGAATCGAACTCACGTCTTCAGGTGATCGGGACTTCCAGCATGTATTCTGTTTGCTGGAAATGTGTGATGTATGCCGTGTGGCAATCAGCCGTTCAGCTCAGTGGCTATAGCGTCAGGGCGTGAATCCCGAAGACGAGGGTTCGATTCCCACAGCGGCGAAAAACTTTTCGTATTTTTTTCTACAAATTTTAATGTTCAATCTTAAGTGCAGTGATTAGCACTATAGAAATTTAAATTTGTGCAATATGATTTTATCCGCTCCAATACTATGTACGAAGCTTCTAACATTTCATGCATTGCATGTAACCGAAGCCAAAATTTACTGTCACGAACAATAGTCGAAAAGAAATGAAACTTTAAAACTGTTACTAAAGCTGTTTCTTAGGATTTTTGGCATTCATTGTCTTGTTGAGATGTGCGATGAAGTCGATTTTGATATACGGGCGGATATCTCATAATGGGCTTACGGCTATCTTGTGTATGGTGACGTCACAGATAAGGACAGTGACCCTTTGCTCGGTCCCGGTGAACTGTTGTATACAACCGTCTGTTTGCAATCCTTCCCTGAGTTAAAAAAGTGGTTGCGGTGACCCATCGGTCTCGATGAGCGGTGGCCGCGATAGTGCGAGCGGACGGGCGCGCCCTCGTCACTTCCCGACGCGTGCGTCGCCCCACTGAGCGTCCGGGGCAAGGCACGAGCGGTAGCGGTTCCCGCCTGAGACGAAAAATAATCGATTGCACTTCTCGTATGTTTTGAATGGACTGCAAATTAAAAATTATTAAAAACATTTATAAATTCTAAATTGAAAGGCAAAACTCTTTCTTTAATTTAAGATTTTTTCCTTTGATTCTTCTAAATTTCCTTTGGACTCGAGAAGAAACTCTATTAGTTCATTACGGACTATACTTTTTGCCTGTAAAAATAAACATTATTGACATCAAAATAGTAAATGGAAGTAGGGCCACGCAACAGCCTATGATGTTGCACGAATGGGCAGGTCTGTCCGGGTTAGTACCCACGACCTCACAGAAAGCTAGTGCGAAGTGGAAGTGTTACACTTCTGTGTTTCGTCTGATGAGTGAGGTTGCCGGGGCTCACTTTATTAAAAGGTGGAAATGCATCTGCTCTATGGGAGTTGCAATTGTCCATGGGTGGCGTTTATCACTTAACATCATCATGAGCATATAACATGGCAAATGAGCTAGCGATACACTCAGGTGTACCGACTAAACGTCTAGAAAACTCAATTATAAGTTCGGCATGCATTGATTCTTTATGACGATCCAAAAATATTTTATAAATGAAAGAAATATACGACTGATTTTATTTTCATCGATTGGACCACCGCCTTACATCGAGGCCGTGTCGCTTCCGCCGGCCGAACCTACATCGTCCCATCTCCCTTGAGCCTTATACCTGTTGACACTACGGCGATTTTCACGCAGCCAGTCTACGCGTTATTTTGCACTTTTTCGCAATGTCGGCGTTCAAAAGAGTTCAACGAGCGCGTAGAAAGGATGTCCGCGGTCTACGATTCAGATCTAGATTTCCGTGAGCTAAATTAAGTGACCGTTTTGTGCTCGAAGTTTAAGTTGCTTCTTAATTTTAATAATTAATTATTATGAAAAGCATTAATTGCTTTAGAATTATGCACCCGTTTTGTACTGAGCTTCCACGTCACTGAACTTGAATAAGAAAAGGCCACGCAACAGCTTGGGTAGCCTCTCTCTAGGCAACTGCCATAAATACGTCCAGCGTGCAGAAAAAGTATACTATTGCGTTTAGTCTGGTCTCACTGCTGGTCAAAGGCTCATGGCAATATGTGACAGTTTCTATTAAAATAGTCTCGACGTGTTATGGACACCGCTCGAGTGTACGCCCCCTAAGAGACGGACTTCGAAGGATCCAAACGTAGCCTCTCGCGTCGCCGTTTAAAATTGTAATCGCTCAATAATCCAATGGCGATTAAACGGTCGCTGGTCGGGCGATAAAAAGCGCGTTGGACCCATTAAAATCAATTACCGCCGCGGCGGGCCCCCGGCGCATCTCTCGATTAATTCCTCATGCAAATTGAAAGTCCCCGGTGATCGAAATCGATGTATGCGAAGCGGCTTCGTCGATTTCGCGGGTGCCACTCGGCCTTTTCGACGGGGTGGTCGCGAACTGACGCCGCCGGGCGGGAGGCGGGTAATTGATGCGCAATTAGTGGGGGAAAGCGGTGCTTGCCGATGTAACAAAAAAAAACACCGAGGAACTATAAAGAGACACTTATATTGAAGTCAAACTTCTTTTGGCGCGTTTGGAAAAAAAAAAGGTAAAATGTCAAGAAACAACATGATGAAGTTGTGTGCAAAGCGACCAATGACTTGGACTAATATCACGGTATTATCGTGGCAAACAATAACAACTTTTTGGCTTTTAGCTATAATGCTAATTATTATTAATTTATTTATTTTTCATAAACAAAGATTTGTATTTGTGTAACTGGTGTTACGCTTTTAGTCCTCAGACTGTTAAAGCTTCATATGTACTCATGCGTGCGTTAGTTGTGACATGTCGCCTAGGGCCATCGAGGTTCTGTGCGGACCGTGATCCCGTTGGCCGTTGACTGTGCTTGTTTAGTCGGTGGCTGGGGGCGGTGAGAACCGCCCCGGAATGCGGGTGTATCTAGTGCACGTTGTGTTGGTTGCGCCGTGCTCGAAGGCGAGGACGAACTATTGTGTTTGTTGATGAACTACATGAGTGTGTACTGTTATTTGGCAGGATATAAACAAACGGTACTGGCAGGGGATAAAATTTACAGGGGATAAAATTGATAGTTATTTTTCTTTGGCTAAATATTTATAAGTTCTCACTTGCCATAAGTAGGTACACACACGTTTCTTTTGGTAAATAAAGAGACAGGTTGATTGTAACGATAAGCGACCAAAGCTTGTGGGGAAGTTGCCGACGCGAGAAAGAAAGCTCAAAGATCGAAGCGAATACACTACACAATGAACTATGGACAACAATATTATAAGTTATACATGTTTTTATACTTGGTTTAGCTAAAGTATTGATAACGTACGTAATATAATTTTACCTTCAACTTTGGTTTCTTTATTTGGTTGCGAATGCAAAGTATCTGATTGCCCTCATTAAGAATTCGCGGAAAGCCGATGACGGAACAGATATTCGAGATACATCATTGATTTCAGGGGTGGCTAACATTTTGTTCCGCTGCACGTCTATAAAAAATATTTTTAGTCTACATATATTTTTGACAAGTTTAAATTTAAAAGTTAAACTATATATGTATCTCTTCGCTTCTCGGCCTTTTGGCTAAGATCAAAGTGCAAGGTTTAGCAACAGACACATATATACTAATATGTATCTGTTGCTAAACCTTGCATTAAATCCAGAAAAAAAATTTTTACAATGGTAGGGCCACGCAACAGTCTTCACTGTTGCATGAGTCGGCAGGTCTGTACGGGTGAGTACCACGACCTCATAGAAAACCGGCGAGAAACAGAAGTGTTAAGCTGGCAACGCATTTGCAACCCTACGGGTGATAAGTGCAACGGGTGCAAATGATCTCCATGAGCTGCGCCATGAACCGCCAGTTCGCTTGCCACCTTCTCACATAAATAATAATATTAAAGCAAGTGTTTTAACTATTGGTATCATCTACTTGCTGTCGATGTATCATGCATTTGAATGTCGACTATTTTGATGCTGAGAGCCGATTTGTGCCGACCTCTGGCTTGATCTGAAAGCGTCGGGACGCGTCGGATCGTATTAAAGGCAGCCCTGCGAGGCGTCTCAGATTCGGGGTCATAGCAACGTTACGTCAGCTACTGACAGCTAACGCTGCGCACGTGCCTGGATTTATTCGATCCGTTTCTTAGTATTGTACGTCTTTAGTTTGGCCGTTCAGGGCTTCCTGGTGTTGAATAGTTGGCGTGGATGCTGGCTTAGCCGCGCAACGTAGTATCGGTTCCTGTAGAGAACAACTGTTTTTTTTTTATGTGAAAAGCTGCTAAGCGAGCAGGCGGTTCACCTGATGTTAAGTGAATATGCCCATGGACATCTGGTACACCCGAGGGTTACCAGTTTAGTATTGGGCTCCGGCTACCTCACTCACCAGACGGAACGCGAAAGTATTTATTATACTTCCAGTTTACGCCATTCTTCTAGGAGGCCGTGGTACTTACCCAGACGTGTTTGCCCATTCGTGCAACAGCGGAGGCTGCTGCGTGGCCCTACCACCGTTATGACCGACAGCATATTGTCGATATACCTAATCCGACATACCGAAAAAATTGCCAGTTCAAAGAGACGAGAGTTTACATTGAATTCTGCGAAAATATAATATTTGTAAGAAACGATAATTTAAATGAAAAATAATTGCGATCTGTAATAACAGTTAACGATTTTTTTACACAATGAAAATTGTCTCTCTTTTGAATCTCTCTTTCTTTTCGCTTTAACACTAGCCATTTCATCCGTCACCAAGATCATGACTACCGAAGCCTTCAAGCTCAAACTAAGAGTATTGTAAATTGTTAACTTAATAAACATTTTTTACTTACGAAAAACAAATCCAACCTCAAATGTCTCGCTTTGTATTCATTTATAATTGATTTTCAGGAGTAAGTATCTCCGGAGCCCAAGATCCCAATACCCAATACCAATGCTAGCTTTCAAATAAAAAAAGAATTATTAAAATCGGTTCACACATTCAAAAGTTCATAAGTAACCAATATAAACAAAATACAGTCGAATTGAGAACCTCCTTTTGCAGTCGGTTAAAAATATAGTCTACTACTAATCGAGTCCGAACAGATTTTCAATGAAAGGTTTCCACTGCGTCCGGCAGCAACGGCGCTCTTACCGCTAGGCTGATAAGCTAAACCACTGCTCTATGGTTAAAAACGACATGTGACAAGCATGGCACACGCGATAAATCGCGGCCGCGAACAAATACAGCCGTCAAGCCTGTCGCGTCCGATTCTTAGCGCGTTTCGGTTTGCGGTCGCACTGCGCGACAATAGCGCTCGTGATGTAGGTAAATAAATTTCATTATACTCAGCCGCGCTTACATAAGGATGGGCTCGCACGCATCGCGGTATAAATCTGGACTTTCTCTCCAGACAGCGATGCTTATTAAGCGGCGCCGCCACAGTGTAGTGCCGCTTCGCATGGTGCTCTTCTTATATATTTTTTCATATGTTTTCGATGACTTTTTATAGAACAGACACCGAAAGAAATCGATTATATTATAACGTCTGAACACGTAATATGGGTGGCGTAGACAAGGATCCTGAACATTTTTAAATTTCATCGTGATTGCACAGACGCATTGAAAATTAAAAATTAAGTATTTTGTTACCGAATTCAAAAAAGGTTTCTCGACCGCATGTATTTTTTTTATGTGTGTTCGGGAATAACTTCGGCATTTATGAACCGATTTTGATAATTCTTTTTTTGTTGGAAAGGAGATATCCCAAGGGTATCCCATGATAAGGAAACCCAGATCTGATGATGGCATCCCAGAGAAATCGAGGGCAATCCTCAAATGTTATAGGCGTAGACAATGTTTTATTATTTTCTTGTTTGAAGTCAGTTTTTTTTGTTGAAAATTATTTATATAATTTTTAATGCTTTGGTTACCGTCATCACTTTGTACTCTACTCACGCATTTTCATATACCCACTGCCGGTTTTTGCGGAACTGGGCGCTTCCCATGTGCAGTTTGTGTGTAAATCTTACAAACTGTAACGTGTTAGCTGGGGAAAGTTCGTTGAAACAAATGTGGGCCAAAGTAACCTAAATCTTGGTTAGTTGTAAATGTATAGTAATTTTAATCCTACTAACGCTTGATTTTCCGGTGATTATTTAAGATTGAGATATGTTTTGCACTTTTCAATATACAGTTCACTATCAAAATTTGTTATAAATACATTTAATAATTAAAAAAAAAAAACGTTAAAGAAGCAGTTTCTAAATGATATTCGCATTTTATTAATATGTAATAAAAAAAGACATGGAATTTATTTCTTAAGTCTCAAGAAGATCTCACCAATAAAACGCTAAACAAATATCTGTAAGATTTCAATTAAATCAAAAAACTCAACTTTCTCCGTTTGTATTAAACTTTGCCAACTGTGTTCTATATGCTGTGACATCGTCGAAATTGTTACCGGTCTGTATGAAGATTTTTCGTGGCCCACTCGTCACACAGCGAATTGAAAGGATAAGACTTCTTTTATTTTTTAATTTATTTCAGTACAAACATGCCTCCGGTGAGATATCGCACCCGCTCGAGAAATGGGGTCGTCAGAAGTACTGTAATTCAATTATTTTGTATCTCAATTTATAGATGTCCTTCACGCACACATTACGAAGGCCTTTTCAGTCCGAGTAAGATGTTTTGCAATTTATGTTTTATGATAAAAACGAACATACCAGGTGTATGTTCGTTTACCAGCAAATTTGCTTGTATACTTTTTTTGTGTACTGTAATTTTCTTCAGTTCTTGTATATTTTGTGTGTTCATTGTATAGAATTCATTCGTTGCCGTCTAAAAGATAAGAGTTATCATGACTGAACAAAGTACAAAGAAAAGAACATTGTTCAATTGTGCTGCACAAATATGCGCATTTATATTGCTTTTATTCTTTAAGATGACACACGAGCAAGCTTTATGTTAAATGATTACTGCCGCCCATGGGCATCTACAATACCTCACTCACCAGACAAAACGCAAAAGTATTATATATATTATTATACTCCACTTCTCGATTGTCTCCTATTAAACTGTACTTTCCCCGAACCCTTATTGCTTGGTCACACCAGTGAAATTAGGTATTTCTCGTAGTCGATTCAGTCTCGATCCCGCCAGTGTGATGTATTGTATAGCCTAACGCCACCATTCTTCGCGGCTGTCAGCCCCCGCTGGGCTCTGGCAGTGGCGAAAAACCACAGAAATGCCGAAACGGAGCCATACATATGCATGAGGGCATAACGACGGCATCCCGCGACGGCGCAAAGTGCAAAACGCCTCTCTTGGCCCGCAGCGCGCATTGTTCCGATGCTGCGATAAAAAAGCATGCTTAACCGCTCTCCCGTAGGCCGAAGAAGTCTATTTGTCCGCAGCAATAGCGCTTAGGCCGCCGTTTGAGGCCAATTTCACAGCGTTTAGGCCCTAATGCGCGGTGATACGACCGGGCACATATTTTGAAGTGAAATATTTGGTGAAGCTACACCAGGTTCGTTCAAATACTTTTCTTTTTTCAATTATTTGTGAGGGCCAAAAGGTTCTCGCACAAGAGTGGCTGTAGTTTAACTCGAAGAAGTCGCTGATTTCATTTTGGTTTCCTTTATATAATATGATTTATTTAATGTATTCATTTAACATAAATTTTTTTTCATATAAGTTGAAATTACACTGATATATTGAAATTTGTTTGTTTGATAACAAATGATTGTTTTTTTCATATTGTGAAAGCTGACACTTTGAGATTTTTAAAAGTGTATGATAATGTTTTTATTATCACAATTAGATGGCCAATACCCCACATTTTTATTATCATACTCCAACATTGGGGACCACCCTGATGTTCACGCACTTAGCGTTTGAATTTCTTTTTTCTATTTCTTATAACTAGGTCGATTTGTTAAGTGGATTGCTTCTATATACAGCAGCGTATCTGACATATGATCTAAGGCCGTACGTCAAGTAGTGTAGCGTGTGTACAATTATTATTGGGGGGATATTAATTTGTTTTCTAAATTATTATTATTATTATTATCATTTATTTCAAGTTACTAAGACTCATATACATCCACATTCAAAATTACATTTTATCATATTAAAAAAACAAAGAAAAAATCGCGAATATTACAAATTAACCATTACAAGCATAAAATACAACATACAAAAATATTCATCCAAACTAGGCCCACTTACCTCAGTCTCTGTGTGCATCGTGAATTATGTAGATGTTCATTGCTTGTCAAGTTTCGGGCTTAACTATTTCAAACGAACGTAAACGACAGGGATAGGGTGTACATGTACTGCTATGTTAGAGTATGTTTTTGTTGAGCCACTCAGCAGTTTCTGATTTTATATGATTTCTTTATTGTACAAACAATATAAAATATACAATTTGGAGCAAAATTTTTCAATTTGAATCCTAACAGTTTAATACAACTAGCTAGATTAAATTGTGTCAGCGATAGCATTTATCATGTGCAGTTGCCTTTTGTTGTTTCGTTTGATTTGTCCACACATCGATATTTATATGACGGAACGGGATCGAAGCGATGAGACAGCCGATCGTGCGAGCGAGACCGAGCAAAAGGCGAATTTGTTCATGGTACAAAAGCATTTAGCAACAAAGTCTTGTACGCCATAATTTCATTAACTCCGATTAAGGATACGAGAAGTTTTTTGTTCGTAGATAGTTCCATCGCAACCGCGGAATAGACGGCAGCTGTCGAATTCCTCCGGATGGCAGCGACTCGTCCTAAGCCCTCTATTTACCTTTATTTATATCTTAATTATTTGCCGCGTCGCTCCTCGTGTGGCGAATTATGCGTGTTTTTGCGCGCGGCGCGTTAAATGTCAACGCGGTAGGTAGCGTGTCGATTGTGGCCCGTTGCGGTTCCACGATCTCCTAAAACGGCCGCGTCCGTTGCATAATGCGCCCTTAAGATCGTATGTTCCTTCGGACACGTTTAATACACCGTTTTCTTCGTGTATGGGGTGAATGCTATGCTAATTCGGGTAACGAACAAAGTCGTCCGTTTCTACATTATCATTTTCCGTGCTCG